CAGGTTACAGGGGCTGCCATGTTTTGAAGCCAGAGTTTGCACACTAGAGACCAGTGATGCAAAAGTCCTGCCTTCACACCCTCCCAATCCATGAATGGACCAACATATCGTCAGTCACACGCTTATTTAAAACACAAATAACTAAATGAAACCAAATAATTTTGGGAACTATCATTGAAAAAAAAAACAGCAGCAAGTTTACATGTTAGCCTCTTTTCAAAGTTATTGACCCTCAGAAATCTGTCAGTTTAATAATAATAATAATCTACTCTCACATGATGCAACAAAGATGGGAGGTGACGGTGTTTATCGGAGGTGCGTAGTGGTGTTGGGGAGCGTCTGCAGAGGACCGGGTTGAAGAAATTTATAATTATTAGAGGTTAGCACTGATGTTAAAAGCACAACACTGTATTTTTAGGTTTTCCTTTTTATAATGTTGACAATGTTTAATCTATTATGTTTTGATTGATATAGATTAGTTACATGTCCGAATTATAAACAAGTCTTCAAACGTTATAATAACAGTAGATGAGACTTTTGTATGAAATGCCTGTGATTCAGCCGTAGGTCAGTAGGGGGCGAACGCAGGCATTGAAGAATCATGTATAAATTGATGAACTTCCTGGCTTTTCGACAGTGTGGTTCTATTTCGTGTAAGCTCTGACCTCTAAGGCTACCGCAGATGGGTACCCCCGTGCGCGCTCGTGCACGGGGGGTACCCATCTGCGGTAGCCTTAGAGGGCGGAGCTTACACTCATAGAATCTGGGGTTACAATACGTAACCAACGTTTCCTTGTCAGCTCCGGTGGCAATAAAACCTCACTCGGTTCCAGAATTCTGGTTTTGTATGGTTTTATTCCTTCTACAAATCATTTTATTTAACATTGGTGGTTTTCATATCGACTTCAGTCTATTGAACACGTATTTTCTTACAAGGTCCTGGAGGAGGGAGCGAAATCAGTGTCTCCTCATTAGTGAGACGTAAAACAAACTTGAAGCTGAGACTTTAAAAAAAAACAAATTCTGTGCAAAAACAAGCCGTAAAATTTGACGTTGTTGTGCAATAGGAGCTATATGTGAATAAATAAATAAAAGCCAGCCTAAAGTTTCACACAGAGGGGCGGGGCTTAAAAAAAGTACTATGCAGCCAGCTGAGTGGCTCTTTGAGGCTTCAGCTTCTGTGTTCCAGTCTCTGCTCTAGTTACAACACAGTGGTTGTTGATTTTTTTTTCACCTCAACCATATAAGATAGCTCACAATCTTGTCCCCACTTATTTAAACTATTGATTTAAGGACAAAGTGAATAATTAAAGACAGTCACGGACACATATCTGCTGAGACCTGAGCTGTCTGCTGGAATCAAACATGTTGCTGCTATAATAAATAATTACATCATCAATAAGGTTCTCCTGATGCAAATCAGAAATAATTCACATCGACAGAAACATCAGGAGGTGACAGCTTCGGTTAAATTTTGTTCAAACCTGCAGTTCAGACTCGGTTAGAAATCATAAAAGGGATTTTAAATGTCAGAGTCGCACCAGGACCAGGTGAACCTGTCTGTATTTTCAGATCCACCCTGTCCCCCCTCCAACAGATGGCGCCTGTTAAAGCAGACGCACATGGCTTCACGAGGACAGGCCAAGCTGTCATTAAACGTGAGGCGCGCGCGGACAGCCCCCCGGTTATATTGGGCTAATTGGAGCTGTCAGGCATGTATTTGAACAGGTGAAAACCATCCATCCTGCCCGCACGAGGCGAGAAGATCATCAGCATTTTCACAGCTTGTCACGTCAAAGTGGCTGTGAGTTATAAATCCCATATTACTTTCATTTAATTGAGTTGCTCTTTCTTGGATGCAGGTTTTTGGTCATTAAATGATGGTATAATTGCACATATAGGTATAGCCTATAAAAAAAAGCTTTAAATTGTCCAGATTTGTTGGAAACGAACCTTTGCGGCTGCATGGGGCTCTGGAGTTCTGCAGGAACCCGGAGAACAGCGATCAGGAGAGACAAGGAGACTCCTCTTTTTTTTTTTWAAAAAAGGACAAAAATCTCCAAAAAAGGATCAAAATAATCCGAAATCCAACCCACTCAGCGGCTCTCTGAGCGTCAGATCCAGCAGTCTGCGCGTCATGATCAGTTCCTCCAAGTCTGCACGCGCAAATATTAATAATGATTTTAAAAATAATAATCTTAAACGGTCAATTCTCGCAGCTCCCCGGTCATTTCTGAACTCATTTCACATCAAGTCGGTCGGAAAGGAGACATGATGTGAGATGAAGTCCAGAGGAAATGGTCTCGTGCGCCGCGTGGAGAGAATCCAGAGGAGGGGGGAGAGGAGGAGGCTGCTGCCGCTGCTCAGACCCCCGATCTGCCGTCTGGATCCTGTGAAACGGTTTGTTAGAAAGTGTGTGTGTGTGTGTGTGTGTGTGTGTGTGTGTGTGTGTGTGTGTGTGTGTGTGTGTGTCTACAACACTTTTGCAAAACATGCTTGT